TCCCTCGCCGAGCCTCTTCTACTCCCTCCTGATGGGCTCATACCTCCACATGTCTGGCGCCTCCTCGATCAGGTGGCCAGTGAAGATCGGTAGGGGGCAGCGGCGTCGTTCCTCAGGTAGAACCAGATCTTATGCCACCCCTTGTTGGACTTCGACAAAGGGATGGACATGTACTTCGATGCACGGCTGCCCTGAAGACGGATGCTTGCGCATCCCATCGACAGCACCAGGTCTGGCCTCTTCTTCTTCTTCTTCTGTAGCTCGACGGTGAAGAAGTATTTCCATAGCTCAAAGTGGGGCTCAATCCCCAAATACCCCTCGCACAGCGCGACGAAGGCCGAGATGTGCTGAATCCCATTGGGATTCAGATGCTACAGCTCAATCCCATAGTAGTGCAACAGCCCTCGGAGGAATCGATGGGGAGGAGTCGTGAGCCCATGCTCATGGAAGGGGATGAAGGAGACGACATAGCCGTCGGACGGTGACATCATGTCCTCGCCACCAGGTACGATCCACTCCATCACCGCGGTCCTTGTGCGGAGAAGGCCTTTCTTAACCAGACCCTCCATGCGCACATGGAGAACGTTGGAGCGAGGCCACGGCTCCATCGAGGAAAGGGGATGGCAATGCAGAAGTTTTGGCGATGGCGTAGGGCTAGAGAGCGAGAACTTCACCGGCGACGGAGTGGAAATAGGGGAACGAAGGCGGAACTTGAGAGCAAAAGGCAGGAAGGCTGGAAGGGTAAGGATGCGGCTACGCATATGGAGGCTAGGGAGAAACAGCTCCGTATATAAGGTAAGGGCGGAACGGGCGAAGGGCGAACTGTCTGCCTAAATTAACGCGACCCACGCCTCATCAGATCCATTTCTTTCAAGACTCGTGCCCTCACTATTCCTCGCAGCATCAGTCGCATCGCCGCCTCGAGAGACGAGCGCATGCCTATCAAAATCTTCCCCGTGAAGGATCCACCGGGCGACGGTTCATCTTCAAAGGCTACGGGCCACCGTAGGTAAGTGGGATACAGAGCTAAAAACGCTCCTATGGCCCATTAACGCCCAGGAGTTCGAAGGCTGGCCCACAAGTGGGTTCACGGCCGCTCCAGGGCACCCTAGAGTGAGGGAAGGTTAAGGACGAGCCCGCTAGCGGCCAATACCCAAAGCGCGCGATGCGCCACGGGTGTCCTGACCCTTGTTTCGAGTCTTGGATGATGCAGGGTCTATGGGTTTTCCTTGAAGAAAGGCATCGAGCCCTCGGACTGGTCGAACGGATCCGGGAACTATATGGACCGACCACCAATAATCTAGAGTCGGTCATTAGCTGATCTCGAACCAGGCCCCGACGAAGGGGATGCCGAGGCTGCACTCGAACAAGCCCATTAACAACTCACCAAGCACTATGCTTCGTCCAGTGAGGAAAGCACAACATGGCTCAGCCCCTCCGTCCTAGCGAATGGACGCATGAGGGATGACGATCACAAGACAAAACGACCCTCCGACCGGACCCCTGCTACGCGCAGGGGCTCAGCGGCTCGGCATCGCAAAGAGACCGAACACGTGGTCGCAGAGAAACGACGAGTATCATACGTGGCTCGCCTTCCTGCAAAGCAACAATAACGAACAGTACTCCCGTGCGCCCTCAAGCGACGGATCACAAAAAGCCTTTGCAAGAGTGTCTCACTCCTCCAAAGTCTCGGAGGCTACACCCACCAGGTGCGCTCGCGCGCACCCGGTGGAAAACTGATTACCAGTGCGTCTCCTCCTCAGGGGCTGGGCGTCCGTATCCACTTTGTCAGTCCCTCACACGGAGGCTGGGTGCCTAAATCCTACTCGGTTACCCTACACGACACAACGGTCATAGGAGCAACAAATCACAAAAAGCCTTTGAAGGAGTGTCTAAACCCTCCAAAGGCTCGGGGGCTACTATCGGATACCTATACCCGGGTATCCGAACAAAAGGATTAAGGAGCGTCATGTCGCCTCATCCGATGGTTAAAGACGCAACTACGATCTCGTCCGACCCCCAGGGGCCGAGCCACGCCTCGTCCAACTCTAAGGACGAGGTTTCCGCCTCGTCCGACCCCCAGGGGCCAGGCCACGCCTCGTCCAACTCCAAGGATGAGGTTTCCGTCTCATTCGACCCCCAGGGGTCGGGCCACGCCTTGTCCAACTCTAAGGACGAGGTTTCCGCCTCATCCGACCCCCACGGGCTGGGCCACGCCTCGTCCAACTCTAAGGATGAGGTTTCCGCCTCGTCCGACCCCCAGGGACCGGGCCGCACCTCGTCCAACTCCAAGGATGAGGTTTCTGCCTCATCCGATCCCCAAGGGCCGGGCTACGCCTCGTCCTACTCCAAGGACCGTCCGACCCCCGGGGGCCGGGCCACATCTCGCCCAACTCCGGGGACGAGGTTTCCGCCTCGTCCGACCCCTGGGGGCTGAGCCACGTCTCGTCCAACTCCGGGGACGAGGTCTCCGCCTCGTCTGACCCTAAGGCGTGGGCTCCAACCCCAAGGCGTGGGCTCCGACTCGTCTGGTCCCACAGGAAGGGCTCCGCCTCGTCCGACCCCCGTGCGTCAGATTCCGTCTCACCTGGCCCCTAGGGCGAGATTTTCACCTCGCCCGTTCCCTAGGGGTCGGATTTGCTACCGGACAAAAGCAGTGGCCCAGGGTAGGACCCGAACCACTTCAACCACTACGGCGTGGAGGCGCACGCCCGGGAGCACGTCTCGGGCGTGTCCTGATGCGACTGGCGGTCGCATTAGGCCATGCTGGGAGACTCACATCGCCCATCGCGTCAATAGGCTGGCACTGTGCTGCCAACTCCCTGCCTGACCACCGTCCAACGTCAGTCGACCGGCGTCAGTTGACTGGCACTGTACCGCTAGCCCCCCGTATGGCCTTTGTCAGGGACCCTTTGACCATTCTGTCCGCTCGAATGGGATGAAAGACAAGAACGACGCCCACATGTATGCTGTAGCGGCCAATAGGACCCCAGTGTGACGCCGCTGCCACCACGATCTACAGGGTCAATGGGACCCACGCGAAGAGGAGCACAACACACCTTCGGGAGCCTTATTTTCTCTTTCTTTTCCCCCTCTTCCCTTCCATTGTAACCCCTGCTTTCCCTTGGCCTATAAAAGGGAAAGCAGGACGTCCCACTAAAGGATATCGAACAAGTGCATCACACGGCATCGGTTCACCGCACCTCATCACAAACAACACACCATCAGAGACTCGGGACTGGTCCCTTTCTCGCCCGTTTGTAACCCCTACTATGAACTTTTTCGTGCTAATAACATGAGCAACAACAACGAACTGGACGTAGGAACATTCAGCCCGAACCAGTATAAATCTCGTGTCCTCTTAGCACACCATCCGAGCCAAATACGCAATAACACAAATTTACTCATTGGTGCTTACTCAAAACATCGACAGTTGTCTCGTTAGCTCCTATTCTGTACAAATACTGATAGTTCATGATAGTGATATTGTGTATCATTACCTCCTACTTTCTGTGATTTGCTAATGCTAACAATTTCCCCATAAGACTTTATATGCTGGTTGCCTTATCAATATCATTAGTAGAGCATACTGTACTGAATTACTAAAAGGTCTGACTTTGGAATTCATAGACAACAGAGCTTCACTTTTTTATGTTTCATTCACATTTTCACACACACATATATATTCTTTATCTTTCTCAGCGGAGAGGATGCGTTTGACTACTTCAAAAATGACCCTAATCTTTTTGATGTGGTATGTTATTATTTTATTCTTTCTTGCTTTAATACCAGTATCTGCTAATACTAAAAGAAAGATTTCATCTTGCCATCACATTTTTTTCTCTCGAATATGCAGGAGTTACGTATCACTGCATTTAGAAGAAAAAGAGTATACAACGTACTCACACCACACACAGACACACACCACCCCTCAGCTAGGAAAACAATACAATATGTGCCTTTGAAAGAATAAACAAACGACCCAGCCAAACACTAAATGGGCCAGCCAATTATCTGGCATCAGCCTCCAAATGGGCTAACCTCTAGTGCGGTAGTGCCTGAGAGGTGTTCCTCCTCCAAAGGCTCTGTTCGCTGGGAGGAATTTGGAGGAATCTGGAGGAATTTGTGAGAGAGTAAACAGTGTTTTTCATCCACGCACAATAAAATCCGGCTGGTTTTTCAACCAGCCGAACAAGCCCAATTCTGTTAAGAATAAGCTGAATGCTAGGGATAGTCCTGTTGAACACACTGTCGTGGTGCTTCCACAAAGTCCATGCCCCCAAGGTTAGCAAAGTGTTGAGACCTCCTTTTATGTCCCTGGACGGACACCAAGGCAACAATCCTCAACCACCAGCCATAGAACTCCTTGTCTACCGGGATAGGTGAAATCCAGCAAACCATAACGACGAAATAGGAGTGACCACACGTACCTGGAGAAGAAGCAACCTGATAGGATATGATGGATTGTCTCAGGCTCTTGCTCATACAGAGGACAACGCTCGGGGTGAGGCAAACCCCGGTGGGCCAACCTATCTGCAAACAACCAAACGAAGAATTGGCACCTCCTAGGAGCCCAAGTCTCCCAAATAAGTTCCCATGGCTCAAAAGAAACCACCCCAATAAAAAGAGTATTATAAGCCGACTATGTTGAGTATTGGCCAGAGTTTGTAAAGCGCCTCTTTGGTCATTCGGTGTGTTGGGCTGAAGCATTGTTTGTACCTAACAAAAGATTGGGCTTTGTGTGGATGTGTTGTGCATAATTGATCTCTGAAAAACCACAAATGCAGTGCCATGTTGTTAGCTTTTTTCATCATATATACCAGACTCATTGTATTTGTTTTATCCTTTATATTTTTAATAGGATGTGGTTTGCACATTTCATATTTCCTTGTTGTGATTATTATGCAAAAAAGGACTCATTCAAGCAAGTAATTAACCATGAGGTTACGTGCATGAATCACGTTTCTCTCTTTTAGTATCATACAGGATATCAAGAGCAGATGTTACACTGGCCTGAGCAGCCAGTGAATGTAATAATCAATTGGTTGAAGAGTCACAATGCATCATGGGCTGTTGCTGATTTTGGCTGTGGTAAGACTAATCTTACTATCCTGTAGCTGATGCTTCTTGCAAGTTTCCTCCCTGTTCCATCTTTTTATTTCCCTGGCACAATTATGAGAATACTGTTCATATTTCCCAGGCAATGCAGCAGTTGCAAAAAATGTGAAGAACGAGGTTTTCTCCATTGATCTTGTTTCAGATGATCCTTCATTGATTGCTTGTGATATGGCTCATGTAAGCACTGGCTGCAAGCTGCATAATACCTTTCTTATGCTTTGCATTGCTAATTATCTGTCCTTTATGTTAGTTTGCTAAAGGTTTTCCTGGTTGTTTTTGCCATCCTTGTGATTTTTGCATGATTCTTGGTAATGGTTGAGAACAACATCGTAGGGGTTTGTTGCATGAGCAAGAATAGTCCATATTTTGACAATATTTTTGTACAAGACCATTTCAGCTCTACTTATTTTCTACGAACCTGCAGAGTTGCAGTTGAACAGTTATCTACCATTGTATTATGTTTTTACTTGAATAAAGAATTTCTAGAAATATATTCCCTTGATGTTTTGATGTTAATATTCTATTTTTATTTTTTGGTTAAGGATAGCTTAATTGAATATTTAGTTTTGATGGATGAGTCGAAGGTAACATAGCTAAGATAATGGAAAAGGCTGTCCAAAGGGATCTCCTGTTCTTCCATTATATATTCTGCCTTTTTTCCAGGATGAACCTAGGAGTAGCCAAACTGAATAAAATGGGCTCTGAATCTTTGACCAGTGTGCAAATCATTAATTGAACTAAGCTTCTTCCTTCTTCTTTTTTGGCATCTCTGCAGACTCCATTGGAGCCATCCTCTATAGATGTTGCAATATTTTGTCTTTCTTTGATGGGAATTAACTATCCAAGTTACTTAGAGGAAGCAAATAGGGTTCTCAAGCCAAGGTTTGCTTAACCTTTAGCTGCTGCAACTCTTACTGCAAAGGGCTGCTTCTTGTTTTCTTTACTAATAGATTTGTTTACGCAGCGGTTGGCTTGTTATTGCTGAAGTGCGAAGTAGGCTAGACCCGAACAACGGAGGTGCTGATCCTGAAAAGTTTTCTAAAGCCATTGTCCAGCTTGGCTTTTCGCTTGTTTCAAAGGTTTGTATGTTTTTTCAGCTGAGTTCTTTATTTGAATTATTATTACGAAGTAGTTGTATAAAATAAGCGCCTGCAAGTACTGAAACATGTGGTGCTAACTAGCATTGGTTCCCTATGGACCCAATCAATCTACTTTCCAGTCTCCAGAATTGTAAATGTAAGATCGACCATATGGCCTGTTGTGGATGCCTTCCTGGGCCCACAATAGGCAATGCAAGAAGCACATCGGCAAGCATTGTAGCATCTCCAAGAGTCTTTCTTAAACTCACTCTATAAATCATTATTTGGAGAGCCATTTAAATAAAAATCGCTCTATATATCTTTCCACACTCCAACAACTTCTCCGTTTCCTGTATGCTCTATAGAGAGCGAGCCCCGCACACCATCTTTAGCTAGCGGGAAATCCGGAATATAGGATAGCTATATTTGGAGATCTAATTAAAGAAGTTGTTGGAGGGTATTTTTCATCAAAATCTCTATTCCTATCCATTAGGAAGGGTATAAAGTGGCTCTTAGAGTTGCTCTTAGAGATAGAGTTGGATTGGAAGTTAACTAATTGTTAGGAGATTAGTTAGCCTCGGTTTACTACGTTAGTTGAGGTTGGTTGTAAAGCTTGTTTTAATGGCCTAATGGTCCAACCCTATATATGAAGGGTGGCTGATCAGGAAAATCAAGCAAGAGTTAATTTATTTGACATAAATCTCTAGAGCCTCCTTGAGAGGACAAACACGCTCTGCCTGCCTCTTGCTGTAACGTTTCCACCTGCTACAGTGCTACCTATATAAGAATCATTCATGGCCTGATAAAAGAGCACCTTAAATGCTTACCTGTGAATTTCTTCAATTTGATATGAAAATTTTTATATCTTCCTTGCATGATCCATTCCTTTCCATTCATATTGTTGTCTCCCGGTTTATTTTTTGTTATAGTTTGTTTGGTGTCTGACACAAGCTAGCAGGTGTGGTGCAGTAAGTACCATGTGACAGGCACAACTACATTGTGTCATCACGGACATTATGTCCTGTAGAATGAAAATAGCTGGGTTACCTAATAAATGGCTAAATATATGGTGGCACGATGTGGCTCCAATGTATTGAGTATTAGATTATGGCTCTGAGAGCTTTTGCTTGTTGCATCCTTGCAATACACAGAACTAATCAGTTTGTTATTAACTACTATTTGTGGAATTGGTATGCAATGCTGGTTTGTGAAACATTTGCTTTGATTTGCGATTGCCATGTTTTACATGTGAACCTCGGTAATGGACTAGAAGTTTGTTCAGTCCCTTCCATTCTGGCACCTTCATAATTTCTGATATACAGTACATTTTTTATTGATGATGAAAGATTACACTTCATTTGCTTGATAATAGATGATTCTGATGATACTTTCTAATTGGCTGTTGGTATCGTTTCTGCAGGATGTGAAAAATAAAATGTTCATTCTGTTCTACTTCAGGAAAAAGGTTAGTTTCACTTGTTGCTACCTTAACTACCTAGATCACTTGGCCTTCATGCTGAATTCAGTGGCTTACCATGCCCCTGCAGGAAAAAAGTAAGGTGGCAAAGAGCATCGATTGGCCCCAGTTGAAACCGTGCTTGTACAAACGGCGATGAGCTGATTGTCTCATATCCACTAGTAATACTGCAGTTAAGTAGAGCTCTTTAAAAGTTTGGTCAAGCTGAAGTGTCTTGTCTAGATTAGGTCCCTGTATGGGCGTATCTGTATGCCAGGCCATTCCATTCGTTTCCACATTTGCTGCGTTTTTCGTGTATTGGACCTCACAAGAAAAGATCAGCTAGGGGCTAGGGGATGATGCGTTGTATGGAAGCACATCATATATAATTCAATTCAATGTTTCACATGCTGCAAATTTTGCATATGATCCACCGAACGAACATCTGGACCTTTTAAATTTTTCAATCTGGAATTCTGAATCAGCTTGAAAGAAAAGATGTGCTTCGGAGTTCCTAGGATCCAGTTCAAATTTGAACTAGATCCCCGGGATTCGACTTGAACGGCGATCCAGCTTTTCTAATTTCTAGGACAGATGAGGCCAGGCCTTGTTTAGATTGAAATTTTTTTCAACCTGATGAATAGTACCACTTTCGTCTTATTTGACAAATATTGTCCAATCGTGGACCAACTAGGCTCAAAAGATTCATCTCGTGATTTTCAACTAAACTATGTAATTAGTTATTTTTTTTACCTATATTTAATACTCCATGCAAACGGCTAAAAATTGATGTGATGGAGAGAGAGTGAAAAAATTTAAAACTTTGATGGGATCTAAACAAGGCCCCAGTGTCCAAACTTTCCTCCCTATATGTACAAGTACAGTTGATTGAGGTGATCGCTGTAGAGCAGCTGCTGGAGACTGGGAAGGAAAATGATCAGTGCTCCGTGCGAGTGACCGTCTCTGCCACCTTTGTTGGATTGCGGCTGGAGACTGGGCGGACACCGCCACCCTACGCCAGGTGCCCAGGCCTCCATCTTTGGGACCTTCGCCAGCGACGAGCACCCACCAGGTATGCTCACCCCTAGTCTTCCGTTCTGCACCCAAACCCAAGCTATTTGTATTCGGATCTGATCTGATCCAATTTTAAGTATAGTATACATGTATTGTGACTACAAACTTCGATTTTTCATTTTCTTTTTGCAAGAAAGTATTGGGTGTATACTGGGTATGCCTCCTAAATTAAGCTGTGTGCTTATTGTAGAAGCCGCCCATAAAAGGTGGCTCTTTTGGAAGGATCGCGCGGGCCAAGCATGTCTATCGCCGTCAATAGTAGTATCAGATCGTGTGGGTGATCTCCTCGTGATGCGATGACGCATGCATTTTTTTTTCGTGATAGTTGGTTGACATGACAAAAAAAAAAACAGTGGCTTATAGTTTTAAATTGCTGTAGTTTTGCGCCGGACGGCATTCGAGCCACCCACGGGTTCAGTTTAGGCACCCCTGCATTTTCAGTGTTTATGGAATTTATTAGGCTTCTAGCTTAAGTCTTTTCTTCTCTGGTCAACATTCTAGTTCTTCTCTAGGTTCTCAGAGGTACTATCATGGTGTGTGACATGTGAGCCTGATGTGGAATTTAGTTGAATGTGCACGATCATTCTGTTGCATCTATTTCCGCTGATGTGCTCTATGTTTGTGCCTTTTCTACTAAACTTGTGAACGCTTTCAGAGTAGATGCTGCCAAATACACAGGACCTTCTAGCACGCAGCCATTTCCTGTGAGGTTTTCTTAACGTGTACAAAGCTATTGTGTGTTCGACAAATTCTACTTTTGGATGGTATTCAATCGTTGCTATAAAGGTTTACCTGGGCCTCATGTACATACCATCACTTGGACATAGGTAACAAGGTTCAACCTAGAAAGGCCCCATATATTTGATGAATTCTACCTTTTGGAAGTATCCAAATGTACCGATGTATTATGAACACCCCCAAATAACTTCTACAAGCAGAAAAACACAGCAACAGGAGGGATTTCCGCCGCTGCCACCAACAAATCTAGATCAGTGCCTTACCCTGCTTGCCGGTTGGCATATGGCGGTGGCGGCCCTCGGTGGCATCTAAAAAGATGGCCACACACTTCTTCGCTGTATCCGCTCGCCTCTTATCTCCTTCCTGTTTCGCACCACTGGTGACGATCTCAGGTGAAGGCGACCTTGATCTTCTGCTTGGATGTCAGCATTGGGGGTTGTGACTGGATCTGTGGTATGGCAGCCCTACAGGCCAGTTCCAGCGGCGGGCACCTACCTTTGGTGCTTCAACGATGGTCGAACGACATAGCAATGTTGGTTCCATGGACGATGCTGGTGGGGTATACCCCACCGATCGGCCCCACCCTCGGTGGAGGCGCCGTTGAGGCCTTTACTCACTTCTTATTGTGTGGATCTATCTGGGTGAAAGCATAGTACTGGTTTATCCGGTCGTGCAGCGACGGCGTCTTCAGAGTTTCTCTCCTTGGAGACCTAGTGTTAGGAGGGTCCTCATAAGGTGATGGAGGTGTGATGTCCGCCGTTGTTCAACAGTGGTGATCTTGCGCCTTGGGGACTTGCTGTTGCCAGGTTCTGAGTATATGGTGTCTCCAATCGCGGTCATTGTCTTTGTTAGATTTATAGTGCCCTTTGTGGAGGTGGTGTGATGTTGGTTTCCCAGCTTGGTGGTCAGAGCTCAGTCAACATTTGGAGTTGTTCTTCAACTATGTTGGATTTGGCTCATGCTTAGGTTTTGCTTTCACCCATTTTATTGTGAGATTTGTTCTTTTGGTTGAGATATCATGAAAAAGACATGAAAATTTGACTACATGATGAGCATGTTGAAGATATTATTTTTCTTATAGGTTTATCTTTTGGAGGAGTCGAGGAGATGTAGCCTTTAGGTCGTATGCCTATCTTTGTAGTGGTGGGTGGCTTTTTTTTTGTAACTTTTGTGGTTTGATGCATCCTTGACTGGGGATGATTGAAGCCGGAATAAATCTTTCCATTATCTAAAAAAATAACTTCTACAATATAGGTATATGAAGGGTGGGTCTGGTGCAAGCGGTAGAGTCTTATCGTCTGTGACCGGAAGGTCCCAGGTTCGAGTCGCGGTCTCCTCACGTTGCACAGGCGAGGGTAAGGCTTGTCACTGACACCCTTCCCCAGACCCCGCACAGAGCGGGAGCTCTCTGCACTCGGTACGCCCTTTACAATATAGGTATAAAACTATAAACTAAAAGTACCTGTGTAATCGACAATTCTGTTTTTTTTATGAAATTATTGAAAACGTGTTAGAAATATGTACCCACTGTTTACCCACTATTGAACCCACTGTTTTCCTAATGAGGTATTCCACCATTTGTACCCACTGTTTACTTCTACTGCCGTCCAATATTTTTTCGGAAAACTAGAATCCGTACAATACATGGCACCCTACTTATTTGTTGTAAGGTGGTCTACTCGTGCTAACCAACTTTGGAATACTTTCTAAAAGTAAATAAATTCGTCGGATTCACAAAATCTCAGCCTTTTTACCTATATATGTTCCGTAAGGTTTTCTATCTGTTCTCTTTGAAATACCTTTCTAACAAACCTCAAGTACTTTCTAAAAGTTGATCTTTTATTTAAGTTTCTACTGGGGTCGTGTGACCCCACAGGACCCAAAACAGATAGCCAGCATCAAGGATGGAATGTGGTACCGCGTTCTATGGAGGGGAAAGTCTCTCCATCGATCCCAAGTGGCTTATCGATCCGAAGCTTCTCTTTGTTGGGCCACGCATAGGCGAGGGCGCACATGCAAAGGTCTATGAGGGGAAGTAAGGCTCATCTTTTTGATCCATCATCTGCGATTTTCTGATTCATTTTATCAATTTTCTCCTAATCGAGCACTTATTTGATGCTGGGGTTGGCAGGTATAAGAACCAAAATGTTGCTATAAAGATTGTGCACAAAGGGGACACCCCTGAGGAGATGACCAAGGAGGAGGGGAGATTCTTGAGAGAGGTGACCATACTGTCAAGGGTGCAGCACAAGAACCTCGTCAAGGTCTACTTTTGCAGATTCATGTTGATTCTTTCCTCAAGGAGATGACCAAGAGGAAGAGGAGGTTTTTAATGCATTTGTTTATTGAAAACTACGCCTGCTTGTTTCACAGTTTATCGGGGCCTGCCTAGAACCTGTCATGGTGGTAGTGACAGAGCTACTAGTGGGGGGCTCATTGTGCAAGTATTTAGGGCTGTTTAGTTCCCTCAATTTTTAGAATTTGGCACTATGCAAAAAAAAGATTTCCCGTCATATCAAATTTGTGGTACATGCATAGAGTACTAAATGTTGACGAAATCAAAAACTAATTGCACAGTTTGGTTGTACTTTACGAGACGAACGTTTTGAGCCTAATTAGTCAACGTTTGAACAATTATTACCAAATACAAACGAAACGCAGCTACTGTGGCTACAGTAACTCTGACGGCGCCGATTCCGCGCAGTAACTCTGACGGCGCCGATTCCGCGCCGAACTAAACGAGGGCTTAGTCAGTCTCCGACCTAGGAGCCTTGAGCCTCGTGTAGCAGTGGGGTTTGCATTGGACATTGCCCGAGCTATGGAATGCTTGCATGCACATGGGATCATTCATCGTGATCTTAAGCCTGGTAAGATTTTTCATTTCACGATCTGATCATTGCGTGCTCTATATATTATTCACTGCTTACTAGGTGGATTTATGCAAACTGTGGATAGACCTTTTCCTTTTCTCCATGTTTACCATGTGGGTATATATCTTTATTACTTTCTTCGGAAAAATAATTAACCTGCAATATCTACTTCCTCTTAACAGTTGATTAGTAAATTCTGTAGTTGAATATCAATCTTGTAATGACATTCATGTGGACTAGCTCAGGATGGAAATGTGCTTGTTGTAACTTGCAGATGAGAAGTTCTTCTCCTTGCACTATTACATCCTATATATAATAAATGACTATTTGGCTTCCTTATATGTTTTGTTTAATTTTATGGTAAATTTTGCCATTACATGTTATTGAGATTGTCGAATGTTATGTTATCATAATTCTTCTAAAAAAAACTGTTCCCCAGTTTTGGTGATTAATAAATTAGTGACTCCTTTAATTTTGTGGCATATTCTAATATATTGATTCACATCAAGTTTTGTTTCCTGTTATGTGCGCCATCTTATGTTATACATTGTGATTATTCTTCATTTCTATTTCTGCTACCACTGTTCTCTTCAAAGATGAAGTTCAGATGTTAAGTGACAACTGTCGCCATTGTACTCACTTTTGGCAACCTATGACATACCATGGTTATCTAAGAACCTTTCATCCCTTGCATATTCTTTACTGTAGCATGCTGTAGTTCTATGATGGATAATTAATAATTCATTAAAATTATCATGGTTCTGTTATCTGTTAGACAGACTGATTGTTACAGTTGTAGGTAGGGCTGCAGGTATGTGACAGCGTGAAGCTGCAGTGTTTATCGTGATTCTACTGTATAATTTATCAAGTAACATAACATTTAGCTGAGATTTTGCTAGTGCATAACTTTCCCAGCCTACTGTCATTTCCTGTTCCAAACGCATCAAGAAATATTAAGTAGTCCTGAATGTTTTTTAGTCGTGACATAAGCATAGTTTGAAGATGTTAATTGAAGTGGGATGCAGTCCTGTTCATCAATAGAGATTGCTATTATCTGTATTTCATATCGTATATGTTCAATCCAACAATGCATTTTATTTATTATTTTGTTTATTGAAGCACGGGTGACATCTTGTGGACAGTTAGTTTACCAGGAATTTCCTTAGTCCGTATTCGGACTGTTTTTTTTAACGCAATGGCAGGAGCTCTGCTTTTCAATTAAGATAGGGAAAGATAGTTTATGTATAAGCAAGGACACTCGAGATGAGGGTTTCAAACCCCCTCAAGCATGTAAAGTAGGGAAACGCACGAGCCAAAGGGGGACAACAGCTAAACATAAGCGAGTGCTCTCTTCCTTTGCTCTATGTCTTTATCCTTGCGGCTACTTGCGGCACCGTTTCTATCTCGTTGTTGAAAATTCTCCTATTTCTCTCTTTCCAAATATTCCAAAAGGTGTAAATCACTACCCCGTTAAGTCGTCTACGCTCAGATCTTGGCACTTTCCTTGTCGCCTCTTCCCATCATGACCTGATATGGATGGGGTCTACCTAGGGTTGCTGTTGAAGTTGAGTGAAGTTTTCCCACGAGAGGATTTGATCCCAAACCGCCTTAACAAAAGGGCAACATAGGCATAGGAGGAGGCCGGTTTCTAAGGGACCGTTGCACAGCACGCATTGTTGTTGGTGTGGCCACCCTCTCTTTTGTAGGTTTTGCGCTGTTAGAATTTTATCTTGCACTAAAATCCAGGCGAAGATCTTGCATCTCTTCTCCACATGCGCTTTCCAAATCAATTCCGTACGGAAGGGGACGAGCGAGCCTTTGAATTGAATTCTGTAGGCTGAGCGGGTGGAGTAAATTTCATCCTTGGTCCATCGCCAGATGATGGTGTCCTGGACGCCCTGTTGTAGGTGCACATCCTGTATTCGTATCCAAAGGGACCCAAGCTCCTTTATGTGGACAGTCGAGGTGATTTTCCTTCCTAACTTGTGCATCTAATTGTTGTTCCGGAGCTCTTGTTGTACCGTTCGGTTTCTCCTTGAAACAAGGCGAAACAAGTTCGGGGCTAGGTACCTAGGAGCTTGTCCATCAAGCCAATTATGGTGCCAAAACTTAGTCTTTGCACCATCCCCCAAAGTTATAATGATTGAGGAGTTGAAGAGCAGACGATCATCTTCAAAACATGGAAGCTCCAAGCCGCTCTAAGACTTGGAGTCGTCCACCCATTCTTGCCAAAGACAGCGCAACCGGAGGGCTCTCCCAAATCTATCATGGTCAGAAACGCCTAAACCACCAAGGTCTTTTGGTCTGGTAACTGTTGGCCAGTTAACCAGGCAGTGTCCACCATTGGCATTCCCCCCCCCTTCCACAAGAAAGATTTCCTGATTTTGTCGATCTTTTTCTTAGCCCATGCCGCCAAAGGAAACACTGTTAGGTGGTAGGTTGGCATGGAGGAGAGGACGGAGGTTACTAGAGTGAGGCGTCCTGCTTTGTTTAGCCATCTACCTTTCCATTTGGGTAACCTTTGTCCAATACGGTCAATGAGAGGTTGCACATGGACCTTTTGTAGTGATTTGATGTGGAGTTGCAGCCCCAAATATTTGCATGGGAAGCCCCCTCTACTACCGGTGAAAGGTGATAGGACTTGGTCTAGGTCGACGTTTGCACAACTGATTGGATGCACTGAGCTCTTTTGTAGATTAATATGGAGTCCCGAGAATGTGCCAAAAGCCTGTAGGATGATTTTGACGGCTTCTACGTCGTCTTTTGTTGGGCTGATGAAAATAGCCGCATCGTCAGCATACATAGAGGTTCTCCATTTTTGCCGCCATGATGGGTAAGGGGGTGAGTATCCCATGTTGGGTTGCTTGGTCAAGCAAACGTTGAAGCGGGTCCATAGCTAGGATGAATAGCATGGGTGAAAGCGGATCTCCCTGTCGGACGCCTCTGGCATGGCTAAAAGTGGCCCCATGCCACCCATTAAGCAAGGGTGTCGAGGTGGATGTATGTAGGAGGATAGAGATCCATTCACACCATCGTGGTCCGAAGCCCAGAGCCTGCAGAATCTCAAGCAAGTACCCCTAATGGACCGTATCAAAAGCTTTGTGGATGTCTAGTTTCATGAACAAAGCCGATATCTTCTGCCTGTGTAGCCTTTGTACTGCTCCCTGGACATAAAGAAAATTATCATGAATGCTTCTCTTTTTTATAAATGCGCTCTGGTAGTTGGGGACGAGGGAGTTCAGTCGAGGGGCAAGTCTGTTAGCCAACACTTTGGAGAAGATCTTTGCAATGCTATGGACGAGACTGATGGGTCTAAAATCTGTAACTCTTGTTGCATCCGTTTTTTTGGGGTAGAAGGATGATGCAAGCCAAGTTTAGCCATTCAAAACCCTGGGCATTCAATGTGAATAGGCTATTCATGGCTACCATAACATCATCTTTAATGATTTCCCAACAAGCTTTGAAAAAGGCACCCGTGAATCCATCCGGGCTTGGCGCTTTGTCAGAAGGCATGGAATATATAGTATTTTTACCTCATCATGGGAGAAAGGCACCTCTAAATCAGAGAGATCATATTGATTGTAGCCAAGGGATTGCCAATTGACTGTCGAAGTTCTCAGAACCGCGGAGCCAATGTGATTTTTAAAATAATCTCGTATCACCTTTTCTTTCTCTTGATGAGCCACCGCAATCCCCCCATCCGTATGCAGATAATGTATGTAATTCTTTCTCCGGCGTGCATTGGCTCTATTGTGGGAAAATTTGGTGTTAGCGTCTCCACACCGGATGTATGTGAGCCTCGATCTCTGTCTAATTCTTGATTTTTCAATGGCTGCGAGCCCAGTGCTACGGGCTTTGAGGCGCCGACATAGGTGAAGCTCCATGCCAGTGAGCAACCTATGCTCTTGGGCTGCTTCTAACTGTAACAATACTTCTTTCACTATGGCGAGCTGCAGCCTCGTATCCCCTATCTTGTCTTTCTTCCAACACTTGATTCCTTTTGCCACACGCTCCATTTTGATATGCAAGCGTTTCATAGGAAGAGCAGAGGTGACCGGCCTATTCCAAATGTTTTGGACAAGATCTTGGAAGCCTTCCATCTTAGTCCAGTAATTTTCGAAGCGGCAGGACGTGCTCTGATGGTGGTCAAGCTCTCCCTGGAGAAGCAGCGGGGTATGGTCCGACATGAGCGATGGAAGGGAGTGTAAGAAACACGTGGGGAAGAATAGTTCCCACTCGGGGGTACATAGTAGTCTATCAATTCTAGTGAGCGTCGGGTTCTCCTGTTGATTGCTCCAAGTGAAGCGGTGTCCATTTAGCTTGATTTCTTTGAGCCTCAAATGATCAATCGTCGCTCTAAATGCCCCCATGAGGCGGCGATTTAGATTGGAGTTGTTCTTGTCTTATGCCTGGTAGATGAGATTGAAATCTCCCAGGAT